CTACATAATTGAAATTCTATACATTTTTCATATTACTTCTATTGGTTCTTCGAGTTTCACTGTCAGCTGATCAAACTTATGAGTTGAAATAATTTCCATTATATCAAAAGATGCGGAATCACATGATATTTCTAATGGTGAAAACCGCAGATCGATAGCTATAACGGTTCGAAAGTTATTCAAAAAACAATCACCCTTCTTTTAATTAGAAATGGACTTTAATTCATGTTTTTGATTTCACAAAATAAATCTAATTTAAGCGTTGTTTATCTTTTTCCTTTTTTTAAAATATGGAATGAAGACAGTAGTGAGGATGTGGGTGTGAGTGCGGACGTTGATCTTCGTTTGAATCAAGCCATACACACACACCTACTCTATAACAATCGTTGTTTAATAATACAATAGATCATTAATAGACAGCGAAACAGCGTCATTCAATTGTCTGCACTTGAAACCGTTGTTTTCTCATTACATGACTATTTGAGTAGCGCTATTGTTGTTGTTGTTACTAACAGGTTTCACTATTTCTAGGGTAATCTTGAATTTTCCATGCACACATGCCATTCGGATAATGCTAGGTAAATAATCGAGATGCATTGAAGAATTTTAACTAATAGGAAAAATAAATCCGCTTTTTTTGAATCTTCTCATCAATATGCGTTACGAATGGTAAAAATAGCATATATTTGCGTAGAAAAGTCATCACAGAAGTTACGTCTTGTCTTCAAAAAGTGAAAAGATAATATTAAAAATATAACAGTTTGTTATTCGTCACGTACTCCATGTAAATATTTTTTGCATCAAAGCGCGTCTGAATCGCGAGTAGGATGTGGATGTAGGTAAGTGTGGACTTACATTACTCATACCGGCAGCCACAGTCACATCCACACCCACACACCCCAAAATTGTTAAAATTCGATGCATGGATTTAGGAAGCTAGTTTTTATAGGAGATACATGTCACACTGAGAGTTATCTCACGATGAAATCAGACAATTTTAAACATATTTACAGCGATTTGATCCATCAATGAGTCACACCGCCCATTTATGAGATTGAATCACATCGAACATGTTAATGATCAATTAGTAATAAAGAATGAATCGGAGTAATATATGAAAGAATAATATTTAACATGGAAAGTGATCGGAGCGAAACAAATAAAGCTAAAAATTATCTAATTAAGTTTATTCTGCGCTACTCTTGTAGTTCTCCCGACTGAAAGTAGAGTCATATCAAACAGAATGAGTTCGTATGGTTGCTTACTTGTTTGCTTGGGGGAGTGTGGGTGTGCCTGTTAATATGGATTTCGACAGCTGGTACCTGGCACCCACACTCAACCCCTGCCACTATCAGTTGATTTAATTGAGTATCAGAACTAGTGGAGAAGACAATTTGCATTGAGACTGAAAAATAACTGGTAATTGAACAGACAATCTGTTATTTTTCTGTGCGTATTCGACTTAGATTGATGTTTCAACAGCCTAATCCGATTAACCATCATTATTCGAGTTGAACTTTGATCAAACCATATAAAATGAAGAACAAAACAGAAAAATCGTTATCTCGTTTTTGTACGACGTTCAGTGTCGAACTTGATCAAAGTTCGTCAATTTAACAGTGTGATCAAGGTCGTTGTCTTTCTCAAAAGAAACACTATTAACTATTCAACTCGAACACAAATTTTTTGCTTAACTTTGCCTTCGAATTCTATGTTCAAATAATTAATTGACAAAGTTGTCAAAGCAGAAGTTTCTTTTAACACAATCCGATCTTTGTAAGAGAGTCCTAAACATCATTGCAATACCATTCTAAGCAGAACAAGGTCATTGTTATTCCTTTATTGGCATATCTACGCTCGATATGTTTCATACACAAAAATGTGTATGCTCAAATGTTTATATTTCCACACTAACTGTTCTTGACTTCCAGCTATGATACATGTAAGAAATTATTAAAAAATAAGAAAAAGTGAATGTGATCTTTTTCTTAATCTGTATTAATATAATATATTTTTTAAAATAGTGATTTCAGTTTTTCATCATGCAGTTCTTTATTGTTCTTGGCGAGTTAGACTCACTTTTTCAAGTTGAAATGAGAATGACTATCTCGAATCTCCATACTCTTCTACCGATGTTTGCTATATTGGTTGAAAAAGTTGAGTACGAGTTAACCACAAAAAAAATTACTAATACATCGATTATTAATAGTTGCCGTATGAAAATTTTTGAATGTAACAAATTTTCGTATCAAGACAGATACGAGTCCTTTGTATTAATCGCATTATATGCACACCTTTCTTTTCTTATAAAGGAATATATAGTATAAAAGAGAAGAGTTCCAAAATTTTATTTGAATTTTGGATCAATAATAGACATCTTAGTCCATATGATAAAATATTCGCTTTCTAGCGGCGTTTTTTATGAATGAAAATTGTGAAAGTCTTTCCAAAATAATTTTGGATTCCAACGGTGGTCTGCTTGCGAGTTTCACCCTTGGACGAACGCCATGTGACCTGAAAGAGTTCATGTCAACTGCCTAATGAGTTTTCATCATCACCAGGTTTTTGCTCATGATCAACAACATCACTTGTATGAGCTGAGGGTAGATTTTTGGATGAATTGGCTTTCTTAGTTGACTTAAACTGAACAAGTGTAGGATTATCTTTGATTGCTGTTGTTATGTTCGTCAGCAGGATATTTTGTTGGTATTCGAGACCATTGGGTGGTAATCGTTGTTGTGGATGATATTCTGCACTGTGAGGCAAAGATATCTGCGATATGAGAGATGATCGACGTTGAGCATTCATGAACATACTCATGCGACGCCCATTTTTTTGTGGTGCAACGACAAAAACAGACAAGGCATTTGATTGTCGTTTACCACTTGCACTTGTCAGTTGATAAGAGTTTCGCTTCATTTTTCCAGCATACAAGTATCTCGTTTTCAATTGATAAAACTGATGGCTCGTACTGATCAACAATGAAGATCAGTGTCTTTTTAAAATAAGAATGAATATTCAACACTTCTTTCAGTAGTATTTTATACAAAAAAAAGAGCAAATAAAATTCGAGCATTTGAAGATAAGAATATTCTATCATATTCTTCAGTTTTATAGCCATGTATCATAAACATAATCCAGGCAATTTTTATACCATGATATGTAAGTTTAAGTGACGAGTGAGTCAGATAAAATTACTGATTTTTTAACAACCTGTTTTTTTAACTTAGACTAAATCCGAAACTTTCGTTCTGATGTCAAAAGATAGAGTTTTCTGCAAATTTGATTAATATCTTATCTTTCAAATGAAGAGTTACTATTTGTCGTAGCGTGAAAAGTACCAGCTACTATAAAAATTTGCTCTACTAAGCACTTTATTAATTAGAATTAATTTGTTTCAGTTGAATAATTTCTTATAGGATTTTCAAACCTCTTAATTTGGATTTCTGTCATATTTTGAAATCTAGGTCTAAAATAAGTATTTGTCATTATTAGACTTTGACCAAACTTTACCATTAATAATAAATGAATGTCGGAGAAAAGTAAAGTCATAAAATACTTCTGAATCTATCTGCACATAAGTGGTATGACATCAAACTGATTATTATCAATCATTTTATTATTTACTTGTGAGTTGATCATGAAAACAATTGTAATATATGTTCCATAATCATTCGACAAAGCCTTCAATTCCATTTGCTTTATTTACTTTTGTTATTCTCCTTGTACTTCGTTTATTCTGTGTCATCATAAACACTAAGAGTGTTTCTTCATTAGAAAAATGACGATCGGTAGCGAATGGAGAATAATCGAACGAAGAAATTTTCTTGCTTGGTACCATCATTTTAAATCATAAAAAGCTCATATATATTACTTGAACTGTTTGAAAGCTGTTCAAGTTTTTTTTTTCGTACAAACTTTCGAAACACTCGATATTACTCAGATATTGACGATGCAATAGTTGCAAGCAGTATTCTATTCTATCTGTTATGAACAGTTTTTCATAATGTAGTAATCGAAGATTAAGAATGCCTTTCATTAGTATTCCTGTTCGTTACTCTGCACAGCAATGCTGCACAAAATATCCTTTCACAATGGCATTGAAATATCATGCCACTGTTGTTAAGCAATATTGACATAGCTTCCTTTCATATGAATATTGATTTTGTGAAGTGTTTTTTCGTAAGTCAGAGAAAAAAATGATTTTTGATAGTGAAGAAAATGCGCCATTCACCGATTGCTTCGAGAACTTTTACAACTCTAGTGAGAGAAACTACTTAAAGATACCGTGTGCAAACACATCGTCATTGAGCAAAAATGACGCAAATAAAACATGCGCATTAGTCAACCTTCGTTTCACCTCGGAGGGATGATTTATACGATGCCCAAAATACAATGAAGACTGATTTTTTTCTTTCAGTTGAAATAGTGATCAAGCAACGTTTTTTTTAATTTCTCAAAAGAATCTACTCTTATGTGTCTGTTCTTAATGCAAAATATACTTTTTATTTGAAACATCTCGATGAACATTGTCCACAATGGCGATAGATGAGAGTCTTCTCGTCATTCACCCATTCATTTGCCCTATGTAGCGCCTACCTCGGCTAGATCAACGACTAATATAAGTGTTTTCAATTTTTCTTTTGAAAACCAAATGAGGGTGTAGCATAACTAGGCATATCTTACTGTCTTTGACCTTTCAATAATCAAGCATTAGTCTTGAGTGAAGTGTTGTGGTTGATGTGAACTGTATGTGCTTTAGTTCAGCAGCAAGAGCAGACAGTCTTGAAGACATATTTCAACAATTCGATTAGTAATTTGGATGAAACTTGCTTCATAAGCTGTTTCGGAAGGTCCCATCGACGAATATCAAATTGAAAAAGTAAAAAATAAAAAGACACTCAAATATATATTGTACTAATAATCAATTAACAATAACCCTTCAACATTAAAATATGTGCAAATATCTCATTAATCGACAAGAGTTTCACTTTATTCATACAATATGTCGTAGTCTTCATTTGAACATTTAAGGCAATTCTCATAAGGCTTGATAGCAAAACTATACATTTTAATCGTATTATGGCAAAACTTCACTCGAACATCTTATCTGGCAGCATCGATTGTCGCAATACAGCTACCACACTTATTCAATGTTCTTCTCTTATATGTAACAAGTTGAATTAGTGGAAAGTAGTCAACTTTATCTCACATATGATCGATTCTTCCTTAATCGATGTTGCCAAAACAGTTGAAATTAATCGAAAGGAAAATAGCTATATAAAAAGACGGTTTTGGGGGTATATGTGGGCTAAAAGTGCACCCAAAACTACATTCATATTGTATTTGTTTTCATTGGAATTCCAGTATGAAAATGACGCTTTTCAAGAACAAATAGAAGGCTTTCAATAGTATAAATAAAATTTCATTTTTCATTCCTTTTCGAATAACCTACATAAACACAACGAGGATAATTCGAATTATCTAAATTAACGATAATAAAAAAATTCGATTTCTTCAAAGAAATTCTTTTTTTCATCGATTGGAACAGATATTTTTGCTTTTAAACTACTAGAATATACTGCTGTGTTTGCTAATGGTCGAACTATTTGTTAGACTTTTCGAACATAATCGATTGATTCGTTTGATGAAAGGATTTGTAGATGAAGACGCATAAGACTTTCAATTGTTGATTGATGCATAGTGTCAACTAATAGATAGCCAGTTGGTTTTAAAAAAAAAATTTATTTATAACAACCGAAAAAGAATTCTTTACCAAGTAAAATACGAATGAATAATTACATACTAGTTTAATCATTTTCGAGATAAATTATAACGATTGGTTTGCCATACCTTTCAGGTAATGTTAATTGATGAAATTTAAATGTTCAACATAATGATTTTCTTCTTCAAAATAGGTGAATGAGCGAATTTCAAATGAAATAATATTTTTTATTTTAACAGCAGCAACAGAAAATATAATACACAATATCAGAAAGAAAGACTACCCTTTTGACAGAATTTACTTTTGCAGAAAAACTGCAAAAGTAAATTCTGTATAGACTAACTTTATGTTGGAAAATACTGATATTGTGTAATTACATTTTTAGCACTATTATATAGTGACGATAACATAACCATACGAATGTTTTTTCGTTCTTCATATAGTATACATATAGGCTGTTTATAACAGGCGAACTAATGTATTTTACTATACGATGACGTAATTCTACATTCGTTCTATTCCTCTTCCGTGTGGTATAGAACATACGCTCTAAAGGGCGTGGGTGTGGGTGTGGGTGTGGGTGTGGGTGGGGGGGCGTTTTTCTGCACTCTGTTTATTCATACCAAGATGCACCAACCCGACACTCGCACCCACACCCACACCCACACCCACACCC